AAATTATTTTTGATAAAAGCTCTCAGCAATGTGGGAATAGAGGGATGATACCTCAACATTATAAAGGTCATATATGACAAACTTACAGCGAACATCATACTTAATGGGCAGAAACTAAAACCATTTCCCCTAAGAACAAGAGCAAGACAGAGATGTCCGCTTTCACCACTCTTATTCAACATAGTACTGAAGTCCTACCCACAGTGATCAGACAAGAAGAAGAGATAAAAGGCATCCAAATTGGAAAAGAGGAAGTAAAACTGTCATTCAGAGATGATATGATATTGTACATAAAAACCTTAAATACTCCACCAAAACACTACTAGATTCAATAAATGAATTCCGCAACATAACAGGATACAAAATCAACACCAAGAAGTCAATGGCATTTTTATACGCCAATAATGAACTCTCAGAAAGAGAAACTAAATAAACAATCTATTTTACTATTGCAACAAAAAAATTAAGATACTTAGGAATAAAGTGAACCAAGGAGGTAAAAGACCTGTACTCAGAAAACTACAGAACATTGAAAAAAGAGAGAAAAATATAAACAAGTGAGAGAATAGACGGTGTTCATGGATTAGTAGAATCATACTTCATTAAAATGGCCATACTACCCAAGCAATCTATAGATTCAATGAAATCCTTATTAAAATACCAATAGCATATTTCACAGATTTAGAATAAACACGCCAAAAATGTACATGGAACCAAAAAAGACCCCGAATAGCCATAGCCAGTACCAGGCTGTTTTCATTACGGTGGCTTTGTAGTATAACTTGGCATCTGGGATTGTGATTTTATCAAGTTACACTACAAAGCCACTGTAATCAAAACAGCCTGGTACTGGCACAAGGACAGGCACATAGATCAATGAAACAGAGACCCCAGAAATCTACCCAAGACATTACATGTAATTGATATTTGACAAAGGAGGCAAGATCATACAATGGAGTCAAGACAATCTCTTCAATAAAAGGTGTTGGGGAAATTGGACAGGTACATGAAAAAAAAATGAAACTAGCCCTGGCTGGTTTGGCTCAGTGGATACTAAGGAGAAAATAAACAAATAGGACTGTAACTGTACAGCAAAAGAAACCATCAACAAACTGAAAAGAGAGCCCACTGCATGAGAGAATATATTTGCCAATTATACATCTGATAAGTGGTTAATATCCAAAATATAAAAGGAACTTATAAAACTTAACAAAAATAAGACAAACAATCCAATTAAAAAATGGGTAAAGACCTAAATAGATACTTCTCCAAAGTAGCCATAAAGAAGGCCAAGAGACATATGAAAAAATGCTCAAAGTCACTAATTATCCAAGATGCAAATTAAAACAACAATGAGGTACCACTTCACACCTATCAGAATGGCTACATCAACAAACTACAGTGTTGGCGAGTATGTGGAGAAACGCAAACACTAGTACGCTGCTGCTGGGAATGCAGACGGGTTCAGCCCACTGTGGAAAAGAGTATGTAGTTTCCTCAAAAAATTAAAAATAGAACTGCCGCCGAAACCGGGTTGGCTCAGTGGATAGAACGTCGGCTTACGGACTGAAAGGTCCCAGGTTCGATTCCAGTCAAGGGCATGTACCTGGGTTGTGGGCACATCCCCAGTAGGAGATGTGCAGGAGGCAGCTGATCGATGCTTCTCTCTCATCGATGTTTCTAACTTTCTATATCTCTCACTTCCTCTCTGTAAAAAATCAATAAAATATATATAAAAAAAATAGAACTGCCATTTGACCTAGTGATCCTACTTCTAGGAATACTAGTATATGCTAAGAAACCCAAACCACCAATCAGAAAGAATATATGCACCCCTATGTTCATAGCAGCACAATTTACAATAGCCAAGATTTGGAAACAGCCCAAGTGCCATCAGCAAATGAAGGGATAAAAAAGCTGTCGTACATTTACACAATGGAATACTATGCAGCAGCAAAAAAGAAGGAACTCTTACCTTTTGCAACAGCGTGGATGGACCTGGAGTATATAATGTTAAGCAAAATAAGCCAGCCAGAGAAAGATAAGTATCACATGATATCACTCATATGTAGAATTTAATGAACAAAATAAAGTGATGAACAAAACAGATCCAGAAACATATAACCATGGACCAATCTGATTAATTTCAGAGAGAAGGTGGGGGTGAGAAAGTGGCTGGGGGGAAATTAAATGGGAAACTTATATGCATATATGCATGGCCCATGAATACAGACAATAGTGTGTGAAGGCTTTGGAGGGGTGAGTGCTGGATGGAGGGGGTCAATGAGGGAAAAAACAAAGGGGACATCTCTAATAATATAAACAATAAAGTTAAATGTTTTTTAAAAAGTCTGTGTTACACATGGAAAGATATTTTAAGATGTAATAATAACTAACAATTATTAAGCACTTACACTGAGCCAAGTTCAGTTTTAATTACTTTATGAGAATTATGATTTAATCTTTACATGTATCCTATAGATTGGCACTATCACTATGCCCATTTTCAAGATGATAAAACTGAGGTCCAGAGAGATTAAGTAATTTACTCATCCCCTCAGGCATTAAAGAAGTCAGAATTCAAACCAGAAATCCGTCTCCAATCCCTATGCACTTAACAATTATTCTTGTCACTGAAGGAAGACTCAAATATCATGGTACTATACTAAATTAAGCAGACTGACCAATGGAACTGAATTAAAAGCATATATACTAATTAGCATACTAAAAAGTTATTATATGAGGGAAAGATGAATTATACAATAAACGGTGATGCCCTAATTAGTTAGTTCCCAAAAAGTGGACCCATACCTCACATAATTTATTAAAATAAAAATCAGTGGTTTAAAGAATTATATGTATCTGGAACCAACATGATGCATATTACCACAACTTTGTCTCATCATTCCTTGCAAAAATGACCCAACTGACTTGATAGAGAAAATTCTTCACCACAAACTGACCACTTCACAGGAGCCCCATCCAAAACCTGAACCCTTGAGGAGAGTGAGCAGGAGATGGCTTAGAAAAGAGAGTAGTGGATGGAGAGCCTAATCAGCAGCTAGTTCCCAAAACCTCAACAATAAAACTGCCACCATTCATTAGCTATTGAGAATCAAACACCCTACTAAGTGCCTTACAGTGTTAATAAATTTAAATATTATTATACACACGAGTAAACTGGTGCTCGGAGGTTTAAACAAGATGCCCAATGTTACACAGCTAATATAGCAAAGCCAGGGTTGGAACACAATGGCTATCAGTCTCAAACTTTAAACTCCACTACACACAGAGGGGCCAAGTCCACCAGGATCTCATCTTCAGAGCCTGCAGACAGCTTCTGGATAGGAGCAGCGGCTGGAAGCAAGGCAGTGCTGGGCAAAGAGTCATGACAGAGGTTCTGCCTGGATGCCAGGCCAGCCAGCTATGCAAGGGGAAGGGAAACTACTCCAGTAGGCTCAGAGCTGCCAAGACAACACAAAAGAGAGACTGTTCTGCAACAAAGGGGAACTTTGCCCTGCAGCTGTCTCCCACTGCCTACAACTCCATCTCTACCCCACAAAAACTATCATAACTCTAAGCTGTTAATGAGAAATTATAATAAATCTAAATTTTCCCCTATGTTTGACTGTAATGAAAAGAACTAAACACGGTCTACACAATTTCCGATAAAGCATTATTTCAGTTCCCCATACTGCATAAACTAGACCTCACTTGGCAGATGAGCAAGCAGACAAGCAAGCAAACTAGATAGGAGAAGAGACTGGAATATTTTAAGAGACATGGAATAATCTGAATAACTGCAAGAAACAAGACAAGTTTACAAATTTTAAAATTTACATTCTCAATGAACTTCAAACTGATAGTGAATCAGTGATAACAAACATTACTTCAAGGAAAGGTGAAAAGGGAGTAACAAGAAATAGCATTTGAAAACAAAAAGTGAAACTAGTGGCCTAAAGAACAGAGACAGTGAAACGCAGACTGGCTACCGCAGAAAATTAGTGCTCAATGAAATATCCCAGCGTTCACAGGAAAATAATAAAAAACAAGACATTATCAGTGAAAAAGATAAAACCTGAACAACAGATCCAGAAAATCGAATATGTATATAACAGGAATTCCATAAAGAGAAGGCAGAGATAAGTAAAGCAGAAATATTGAGTAAATAATAGGGCTGGGGGGAGCTTAAAAATGAGTTTTTCAAACTGAAATTATGCACAGAACTTGGCAGAATAAATCATAAAAGATACACACATCCGAGAATTTCTGAATGTCAGGGAGAAAAAAAATTAAATAGACATAGGAACCTCCACCAAGATTTTTTTTAAAAAAACGGGGGGGTGTACTAACTGCTAAAAGACCATGGAGTAAAGTTTGTAGGACTTTGAAGGTAAAAAACTGTGACCTAGTAAGAATCCCAAATTTAACTAAATTATCAATATTGTAATTATCATGATTATAAAGCAAATGAAAAATATTAATAGACTTAGAAAGATAACAATGTACTTTCCACATATTCTTTCTGGAAAAAAAATTCTTAAGAAAGGGGGACAATCAATTAAAAAATAAGAACTCAAGAAAGTAGAAGATATTTGAAAGTATAGATATAGATGAGTATAAAACAAATAGCAGTGAGCAATAAAGGTAACAAAACTACAGTGATCTAAATTATGTATGCTAATGGTGTTGAAATCATGATACAAATATTTAGCAAGGAGACTTGAAAGAGCAAATTGCTAAAAAAAATTATATGAACAAACATTTCTAATTATTTCTAACAAAATTTAGGCTATAAAGGGAAGGAAGAAAAGAACGTGTTGAAGCTCATATAGCTTAGGGGAGCTCCACAGCTACTGCTCCAATGCTAAGTGCAAATGTTAAACATACCCACAATTACAACAAAAATTAGACATATTTAATTTCTAAGTCACAAGGAAATTTAAAGAAAATTCAAGACAAAACTCAGAATAGGGTAAACAATAATTTGAAAACCTAACACAAGATGCCATGGGTAAGACCAAACATTCAGTGAATACTAATGGGTAAAATATGCCTATTAAAATACACATAAACACACACACACACACACACACACACACACACACACTGGGTTATGTGCAAAAGTATCAGACATAGAGTAGATACTAAAAAAATAGTGTATATAAAGAAAGAAATAACGTTGCAGGCACTGTAGTGAACCAAACAATTTTAAGAAGAAGAAAAGGAAACTTTACCAGTTTAAAACACCAAAATTTTCATTTCAAAAAAATGTTTTAAAATCTCACAATGAACTGGCAAGAAAATAAATGAAATCCCTCAGAGGTCAAAAACTTAATAAAGTGTGTAATCTTTAATCCACAAATTTCACTCATAGTAATTTAGTCTACATTCACATGTTTTAAAAGGAAGAAATCTCTTCCTGTTTCTCACCATGGCACAGGATTAAGGGGAAAAGGAGAACCCCATGAGGGAACTTCACATCCATCGGCTCTGCCTCAACATCTGTGTGGGGAAAAGGGGAGACAGACTGATCCAGGCAGCCAAGGTCCTGAAGCAGCTCACAGGCCAGACCCGAGTGTTCTGCAAAGCCAGATACACTGTCAGATCCTTAGGCATTAGGAAAAATGAAAAGATTGCTGTCCACTGCACAGTCTATGGGGCTGAGGCAAAAGAAATCTTGGAGAAAGGTCTGAAGGTGTAAGAGTACAAATTACAAAAAAATAACTTCTCAGATACTGGAAACTTTGGTTTTAGGATCCAGAACACCTCAATCTGGGGATCAAATATGACCCAAGCATTGCTATCTATGCACTGGATGGACATCTATGTGGTGCTGGGTAGGCCAGGATCCAGCATTGCAGACAAGAAACGCAGGTCAGGTTGCATTAGGGCCAAACACAGAATCAGCAAAGAGAAGGCCATGCGCTGGTTTCAGCAGAAGTATGATGGGATCATCCTTCCTGGCAAATAAATTCCCATTTCCATCCAAAAGGCCAATAAGTTATTTTCAGTGGAAAAAAAAAAAGGGAAGAAATCATGCATGGGAGGAATTCATAAATTCAAGACAGTTTTCACAGTTTGGGGTTGTTTGGGCTGCAAATAAAAGAAACCTAACTAAAGTGACTTAAACAAAAAGGATCTAATTTAAAAAGGACTAGATGGCAGGCACTCCAGGTTGACTCAGTAGCTCAAATACCTATGTGGCTAAGGCTCCGTATTCACTTTCAGTGTGTGAGGGACATCATGTTAGGCAAATGCAGGGTGTAAAAGACTGTACATATAAAATGATCTTTACTAAAATCAGAGAAAAAGAAAAGAGTTCAAGGAAATCTGTTAATAGTGGTTGCTGTAAGATGGTGAGATCATGAGTGGTTTTTTACCTCCTGTTTCATATATTTTTTGGTGCTTTACCTATTTTTTAGAAAAATGTAATACATGCACAAACTGAAAAAAGAAAAAATATATACATATATCAAAAAATTAAAAAGAGAAGTGCTGCTAAAGAAAGAAGCTCAATTATCCTTTGGCCATAATGACATAGATTCTTTCTCCTTGTTTTCCAATCAGAATTCTTTCAAATTTATTTGCTACATGTCTGAGTTTTCTAATTCTCCACCACATGCAGCACAGTAGTTTAGTGTAAAAAAAACTCAGGATAGCCCTAACTAACCGGTTTGGCTCAGTGGATAGAGCGTTGGCCTGCGGACTGAAGAGTCCCAGGTTCGATTCCAGTCAAGGGCATGTACCTTGGTTGCGGGCACATCCCCAGTAGGGGGTGTGCAGGAGGCAGCTGATAGATGTTTCTAACTCTCTATTTCTCTCCCTTCCTATCTGTAAAAACTCAATAAAGTATATTTAAAAAAAATAAAAATAGCCCCAACCGGTCTGGTTTGGCTCAGTGGATAGAGCGTCGGCCTACAGACTGAAGGGTCCCAGGTTCGATCTGTTCAAGGGCATGTATCTTGGTTGCGGGCACATCCCCAGTGGGGGGTGTTCAGGAGGCAACTAAATCGGTGTTTCTCTCCCATCAATGTTTCTAACTCTCTATACCTCTCCCTTCCTCTCTGTAAAAATCAATAAAATATATTTTAAAAAATAAAAATAAAAAGCTCAGGATATTAATAATTATGATCTATGTAGGGTATAACACTTTATAGTACTTAATAGAGTCCTTATCACATGAACTTTATTTCATTATTCACTATACTGGTATAACACTTAAAGATAAATAGAAAAAATAAAAATAGGTAAATAGAGCATTTTGCAGTGAGGAACTTGAAGCTTTAATCATTCAAGAGCCCTTCCAAAATCAAATTAATTGGGAAGCTTAAATATAATTTACCCCAAAAAGTATTCTATTTTCATATACCATATTTCATTAAGATAATATTAAAATACACTCGTGGTTATATTGCATCAATTTCCGAGGGGCATCCAAATTCTTTTAGATATTTAATTAATACCAATAACCACCAGTGCTCCTAAATCTACTGTAGGCAAAAATGAATGTTTAAATAGAGACCAAAGCTGATCAGGAGAAACCTACACTATCCACTTGGTGTGCTTCAGTGACTTCCTTCTGTTACCATTCCTCACATCATGAGGTCATCAGAACAGCTCAAGGGGCTTCCCACTTATCTACTAATTTCAGAGGCATCTTCCAAGACTGTCTTCTCATTAGCTTAAAACTAAAAATTTGGAATTTAGAATTTTAATTTTAAACTGAAGGATACCTGAGTAATAATCTAGTCAAATTTCTCATTTCACATACAAGGAAACTGTCAATGCAGTTTAAATCCATTAAAATGGATCAGTTATGAACACAAATGCTCCACTGAGCACAGAAAGATGTCTTTAGAAGATGTCTAAAGCCTGCAAGAATTGATACTGCTGCTTAAGCTTTACTGATACTTATGATCCTATTTTAAAATGCTGGTCAATCAATTTATAAGGCCCTGTTTACATATTACAAATCCTCAAGTAAAAAAATCCCATCAGTTAAACATGACATGCAGAGTAAAGCAGCTAAATGGCATATACTCGTCTTTGGCCACAAGGAATGGAAATGAATCTCTGCCTTTTTGGTTATTTTGTTGTTGTCTTCAGTAATGTGACATAAGACATTACAGAGAAGAATTTGTAAACATTAAATTGCAAACAAAATATTCACTGAAATAGAATTTCTGTTAGGTTTGTTTCATTTTATGCTCTAAGACAAACTTGGGCTTCCTGTCCTCACTTAGAAGTTCCAGATTTCACAGGAAATTCTAAAACATTAATTCCCCTTCAGCATCTGTTCTCCCCAGATCCTCACTGTTAGGGACTAGTGTGGCAGCCAGGGGCTCTGGGTCACCCATCTATCAAGAAGAGTTCACTAAAAATTCTTAGCCAGCCTCATTCATAAACATATGAACAACATACTAAAACAATCAACAGAAGTAACTCACTGGAGTGCTAAGTATTAAATGCTACGTCAGGTAAATATTCCCTCCCAAAAGATCAGTTTCCTTTTCGAAGTCCTGGCTGCATCTCATCCCTGCCCTGTCAGCATCTGGCCCTCAACTAGGGCTAGTTGCATTCTGAGCTGGCTAATATTGGCTGAATTCCACATGATTTTAGTTGGCCTCAGTAATATTTTTGCTTAGTTCTCAAGTCCAGAGGTACTTACTCTATAAATGGCTGCCATTTTTCTACTGAACTTCTGAAACCCTCCAAATTGAGGCCTATTTTTATTGGCTCATTAAGTATAGGTACCAAATTTTGGTAGTGGTTGGCATGGGAAAGGGTGGAACAATTTTGCTTTGTACATTATAAATATACTAGGGGCCCAGTGCATGAATTTGTGCACCTTGAAAGGAACTGTGGGCCAGCCACAAGGCTGCGGTGGGCACAGGGGTGGGTCTCGGCCCATCCTCCACACCCCCGACCAGCTCCTCCTGCCACAGCCCCAGGTCCTGTCTCTGCAGGCAGCCTCGCTCTCACTGTTGCCACTCCCATGCGCTGACGGTGCTAGCCCCGTTTGCATCCGCTGATGGTGGCACGGAGCGATTGGGGCCAGTGTCAGCAATGGGTGTGAGTGGCAGCTGCTGCCCCAATCGCCCCTCAGAAGCAGGGGGAGGTGGAGAAGCCCTCAGGGGCGATCGGGGCTGGCAGCCGCTGCTCACACCCGCTGACAGTGCAGAGCAATCAAGACCGAAACCAGGCACCAGCAATGGGTGCAAGCAGTGGCTCTGGTGCTGGCAGCGGGTGTGAGCAGGGCCGGCATCGGCAGCAGGTGCGAACACCAGGCAGGATCACGGTGCGCAGGAGCAAAGAATTTTCAGTAACCACCAGAGGTTCCAACCAGCACCCCGCCTTGCTTTGGCGCCCCTGCTCACCTGCTCCACCATCCCACCGAGCCCGATGCCCGCCATGTTCCACGCACGCCCCTGGTGGTCAGTGCACGTCACAGCGACCAGTTGTTTGGTTGTTCAGGTTGTTCCACCATTCATCTATTTGCATATTAGCCTTTTATTCTATAGATTTTTTTTTTTTGTTAACACATTGTTTGCGGGTAGTTTTTATCATGCGCTAACAGGTGGCGCGGGCCATTTTTGCAGTTGAATAAATTACCGTTATACCTGGAAGTACATACATAATTCACCACTGCATGTGTTAGAGACCCAAATTTTGTCCTTTGGAATTTGTATATCTGCATGTTAGCATCCCTTTAGAGCAATAAAAAAGTATAAAAATAAACGTATTTATACGTTACCCGCATTCTACCACTAGTCTATAAAAAACGTATTAATACATGTCTCGCGCTCTACTACCAGTCAACGTAAAACATATAAATACGTTTCCCGCATACAATGTGTTAATCCTTACCTGAGGATGTTTTTCCTATTGATTTTTAGATAGAGTAGAAGAGAGAGGAGGAAAAGAGAGAGAGAGAGAGAGATTGGTTGCCTCCCACACGTACCCCAATCGGGGCTGGAAATCCAACCTGCAGCCCCAGGTTCATGCCCTTGACTGGAAATCGAACCTGAGATACTTCAGTGCTCTGGTTGACACTCTAACCATTGAGC